CTTGGGCCTAATGCCTAGTCCATTTGCATGGCACTTTACAGTTGACAAAGCATTTTTTCTCTAGTTATCTCATTAAACCTGATAAAGATTAATATCATTTTCATTCTTCATTTGAGGGGAAAAAATGAGTTTCAGTTCATATAACTTGCCTAAGATCACACACCAGAAGTGCCAGAACAAAACTCCAAGTCCAAATTGCAAATGTTTTCCGTTAACCCCACAGAGCCAGAGAAATGACTCTGGCTTGAATTAGAAATAGAAACAAAAGGACTAGCAAATAGAGATTAGGGACAATCTAAGGGTAATAGTTAGAGATGAGTCAATGTGCTCAACGTAATCCAGTTCATGTCTAATGAGAGACTTTGTTGGGTTTTTTATTATTTTTGAGACAGAGTCTTGCTCTGTTGCCTGAGTAGAGTGCAGTGGTGTCATCGTAGCTCATAGCAACCTCACACTTCCGGGCTCAAGAGATCCTCCTGCCTCAGTGTCTTGAGTAGCTGGGACTACAGGTGCATACCACCACACCTGGCTAATTTTTTTACTTTTAGTAGAGATGAGGTCTTGATCTTCCTGAGGCTGATCTCAAACTCCTGAGCTCAAGCAATCCTCCTGCCTCAGCCTCCCAGAGTGCTAGGACCACTATATTACGTATTCTGTGATTCATTCAGGGTCACTGCTAGACGATAAGGCAACTTTGGGCAAATCAGAAGAAGGCGACCCTTCTTTTGGGTGGCCCCAGCCCCATGCTGAAGCTCAGGGCTTGGTGAGCGGAGTGTGGGCTAGATTCCAACCCCACCTTGTCCCCTGGGCCGGAGCCCTTGTCCTGTGAACAGCAGAGCCATAGGTGTTGGCCCTGGGCTGGACCAGCAAATTGATAAACCTCCTATGTGCCCATAACTGTGGCAGTTCTGTGAGTAAACAACTAGAGGGTTGTGTGTGTGTGTATGTGTGCGTGAGAGAGAGAGAGAAAATGAAAACTAGAGGCCAGGAAATGAGTCAGGAAAGAGGTATACAGTCTTTTTGCTACCAAAGATATCCTTTTATTATTTTTCCCTGGCATGAAAGATTTTATCTCCAAAACAAGCTGAACATATTAAATAATAACAACTAATCCATTCCTCCATTTTTATGAATCAAAGAAAAATCATTTAATACACAAAAAATCATGTTCCAGAAATTCTTCTATTGATCTACACACCCTATCAGAGCTTCCAATCAGCATGAGATAACCAACATTAGTAAACTAAGACGATAAAATTCCAGGCAAAGGAAGAAAACGGTTTTATCGTTCTGCACAACCTCATTACAATTTTGAAGAACTCTCACCCGAGGAGTTCGAAGTTCATTGGTCAAGGCAGTAGAACTCATGTAAAATGTCCAGTGGCTCAGTTGGCTGGCTGATTAGACCCAGGATGGGGTCCAAAGAATGGCTGGTTTCATCAGTGGGACTATGCTGGTTTCCTATTCAAAAATATAATAGGCTATTGTATGGGGAGAATTAGACCTTATCGTATCGGGAGTCTGCTGAGGCCCATAGGAGTTAGTCTGGCAAGCAATACAACACCTCAACCTACCACGGAGTATTTCCCCAGCAACCCCCTTCTCCTGCCTTTGAACATCTGTCAAGTTGAGGCTGAGGCATGTGATGTCTGGATAGCATTAGATCAACAGCTCTTCAACATTTTGGCCTCAGGGCCACTTAATACTCTTAAAAATTAATGAGATCCCGAAGAGCTTATTTTTAAATAGGTTGTCTCAATCAATATTTATCATAGGAGAAATGAAAACCAAGGAATATTTAAATATTTATAATGTTTAAATTATGAACTAGTTACATGTTAACATAAATAACATCATCATTTATGAAAATAACTGTATTTTCCAAACCAAAAATATTTAAGGAGGGAGTCATCACTGTTTTACATTTTTGCAAATCAACTTGATGTCTGGCTTAGTGGAAGACAGAGCTGGATTCTCATATCTGCTTCTGCATTCCAGCTGTTGTGATAGCTATCGCACATGTAGCGTCCGCTATAGACATGTGAGAGCATGGGTGTATAGAAATCAAATAACATCTTAGTATTATTAGGAAAAGAGTTTGACCTTGCAGATTCTTTGCAAAAGTCTTCAGGACACCGAGCGATTCCTGGACTACACTTTGAGAATTGCCACGTTAGAGCATCACCAGTGGCAACTATCATTTTCCAGGGCTCTAACTCCAGCTCTCAGCTTTTTTCCTACTATCCTATTTCCCCTTGTAAACCAGTGTCTCCACTGGCCTATTTTCCTCCCCAGCCTGACTGCTCGCTTTCACGTGTACTGGCTACAGGGCCTCTCCACATTCTGGTCCCCTCGTTGGTCCCAATGCCCCAGAGTCAAACCTAGGATAATGCCTTTTCACTCACGTCAGCCCCTCCAACTGCCCCATCACTGTCTGCCATCTTCTTCACGTCCCATATGTGACCAGTCGGTCAGAAATCCTCTTGATGCATCTCATACCATCTCTCAGTCCACCCTCTTCTGTCCGTGGCCCCTTTCTGTAGGGTCTCATTGCCAAGTGTCTGGATCACCCCGCAGCTTATAGGACTGGTTTCCCTGCTTCCAAATTCTCCCTGGTCCATTTGTCCATGCTGTCTTGCAAATGATTGCCTGACTTAAACATTACTAAAGACGAGCACATCTTGTGACAAGCTACAGATAGTTTAACCCACCAACCACCGACCTTCTCTCCGTCTTTCATGACGCTACACGTAGTATATTGCATCATTTGGCCCCAGTTCTTCCCCTCTCCCAGTACCCATGCCTGTTGCCACCATGGGTCACCTCACCTATGGACTTTGGGCTCAGCCATGTGACATCATTGAGACGGCTCTGAAAGGCCACCCCCGCTTCAGAGGTCCCCAGGTGCTCGCTGAGACCTTTGCTGGGACTTCACTGGAGCTCGGCTTCTCCCTCTGTTCAACTCTCCTTCGTTCCCCTCCCTTCCACAGGTGTGGATCGGACAACACCCTGATAAAATTACCTGCCTGTTTAGTCTCCATCACGGTCAAACTCAGCTTCCTGGAGAACGCAACCTACAGCACAGACCCAAACAGACCTGTGGGATTCTTTCTCCTTGAAATGCAGAGTAAACCCAAATAGACCAGAATACTTTGACAGAGATCTTATTTGGCAGGGGGGTGAGGCCAAGTCTCGCTATGTTGCTGTGTTCCTCAGGCTGGTTTTGAACTCCTGGCTTCAAATGATCCTCCTCCTCGGCCTCCCAAAGTGGTGGGATTACAAGCATGAGCCACCACAACCAGCCTGGCAGGATCTTTTAGTAGGAATAGATTTTCTTGATCTTTAGAATGTAGTGTGGTTACTCTGATGCCACAAGTAAAGGACGGTCCCAAATTTAACAAAGATGTTCTTAACCTGAGGTCCAATGACTCCTATAGAGATTCCTGAACAGAATTCAGTGGGTCTGTTAACTTACATGACAAAAAAGAAATTTCATTTGTATTTTCCGTACCCGCTGATATTTAGCATTTCCTTCAATAATGAATGTAGGCAACAAAGCACAGGACCAGTAGCACTTAGTGACTCTGCCACTATTATAAGTCACAGATATTTTCATATCACATTATACAGGGTGTCCCAAAAGTCTCCATACAAAGGACAAATTTTGTAAAAATTTTTAATGACTATTTTGTAAATAACAGTACATTTAGTTACAATTTCCCATTTTCCCTATGTATTGTGACTCTCGGGACACCCGGTGGTTGCTGCAAGTGCCTGAATATTGTTTACCGTCCTCACAAGCTTCGAAGTTCAATAGTTTCCTGATCTTCCACTGGATCCGCCGCTACGCCTTATTTAACGTGGTTAAAAGTAAGCACGTATACTACTCCATAAAATGTGCATTTAAAAATATTTTGATCTCTAGTTCAACATAGTCGGTTTCCTTAGTGACCTTGTGGATTTTATTTTATGCGTTTCAAAGCATTACACTGAAAAGAGGCCGTAGAGGCTTCACCAGACTCTGCAAAAGGGCCGGGGCCGTCGACCAGCGAGGCGAGGGCTCTCTGCGGATCGGGACCTTGAGGACTCACTCATTTTAGGCAAAGCCGACGAACTCCACGTGAGTGTCGTCCAGGGCTTAGTCTGCCCGGGCAGGCCGGGAGCACAGCCATTTCCCGGGCGGGACAGGCTCCAGCCCTGTGTGTGCGGCTCCCCCCACTTCTGGAATGCGCACGAGCTTTATACGAAACCCACATGGTGTGCGGCCGGGAAAGGCCGCGGCACGAGAGGACTTTGCCGAGTTGACAGCGCCCCCCAGGCCCGGCCAGTTCTGGGGAGGCTCCAGAGAGCTATAGGTCATCCGGCCTCGCTCCTCAGGGGGGCCCCCCGTGGTGACAGTGCTCGGCCACAGGAAATTGGATCGCCGGGCGCCCTGCGTTCCCAGCCCTGAACTCTGGACCCTGAAACGAGCCCAGCCAGAAAGCAGAGCCACTGCCAAGACACATCCGGAGTCCGCGCGCACGAACGCGGGGGCCGTCTAAGTTCCCGGGGCCGAGAGCCGGGTCTGGCTATTTCCCCCCCCGCCCCGGCACCCGCGCGAGTCCCAGGCCCCCCAAAGGCCCAGGACAATGGAGAGACGCGGACGCACTTCCCGGCGGCGACGCAGCCCGCAGCCGCGAGGGGAAACTCCGCCCGGGGTCCCGGGTCCCGCGTCCCCGCAGGGCGCGAGCAGAGCCACGCGCAGGAGAGCCGGGCTGCCCCGGACGCGCGCGCTCCTGTGTGACAGTGGCTAGGTGGTGGGGACACCTCGGGGCAGGGTAGAGGCTGGAGCCGCCCCGCGGCGTGAGACCCAGCGCCGCGCCAGGTCCCCAGGCGGCCCCCGGGTCTCGGCCACCGCCTGCGACGCCCACGTCCGTCCGGCTCCGCGGGCGCCCCGGCCCGCCGCGACCTTCCTTCCGACATCGGTTCGGCCCTCCCCTCCCGTCCCGGATCGCACTCACATAGACGGAGTTGATGTCGGATTTGTCGTAGAAGCGCAGCGCCCAGCTCAGCTCCAGGGCAGGGGAGACGCGGTCGTCTCCCGCCTCCAGCTCCAGGTCCCCATGTCCGGGGCCAAAGGGGAAGAGCTCCTGGCGGCTCAGGCAGCCCCCGGGCCCCGCCAGCAGCAGCTGCAGCAGCAGCGCCCGCGTCCACGCAGCCCCGCTCCGGCTGCTCGCGGCCAACATGTTCCCGAACTGCTGTCCCGCAAACCAAGCGGCTCAGCGGCGGGAGGCTGAAGAAGGCGGAGATGTAACCGGACGCCCTGCTGCAGCCCCTTTCGCCTCCCGCCTCCCTCCCGGAGTTCCCACCCCGGGAAATAGGGGAGGGGAGCCGAGGGGAGGTGGGAAGGGCCCCGCCCCGTCCAGCCGGCGCTCGCCGAGGCAGCCCAGTGGCCGCGAGGGGGAGGGCTACGGCGACACCGGGTCCCTGCGCCGTGCCGGCAGCGGCGCCCTCGCCCCCCCCGGCGGGGTAGTGGGCGCTGGTGCCCGCGATTCCCGGAACCAACCCGGTTCGCACCGAACGGCCCCTCCGGGAGGTGGGAGCAAAGCTGCGACTCTGCACTATTGTCCTCTAATCTGGGTTCAGGCGCAGGGAGCAGGCGACGTGGAGATGCTCTGGACTCGGGAAAGAGCCCTCCCCAGGGCGGCTCGGCGGCGTGCGGGCCACACTCGCGTGCCTCTCGTAGGCAGACCGGGTGGGAGCGGGGAGTTAGCAAGGGGACTGGGCCCGGAGCGTGTTCATTTGCTCATCCATCCATTCGTTCAGCAGTTTTCGAGCCTGACCCTGTGCTCCCTAATGTGGGGGTTCGGCAAGAAATAAGGTCCCACCGTCCGAGACAAAGTCGTGAGTGTCTGACACAATGCAGTGTTAGGTTGGATGGGGACCCCAAGTGATAAAAGACATTATTAGGGCTGGAATGACTCGCCGGGGAAAGCTTCGTGTGGGATGGTAGGAATCAAAGCGGGTCTTCCAGAAGGAATGAGATTCTATCGGTGGCGACCGGAGAAGGGACGTCCCGGGAGGTGCAGGGCTTGAGCCGGCTGGGTTCAAGGCACCATCCCCCCGCCGAGAATTTGGGGAGGGGCTGTTCGAAGAAGAGCCTTGAATAACAAATGCAGGTATTTGAATTCACTCTACCACTAGAACTATTGAAAGCTCGTAACAAAGGGAGATGAGCGATTTAAGTGTTATCCTAAATACCGTTGATCATTAATTTGGCAGAAAGTAGAAACAGGTAGGTCAGGAGAGGACCATTGAAAGGAGAAAAACAGGGGTGAGAAAGGAAGAGATCGAAATTCAGAAGAAATGAATCTAAGAGACGTTACAATGAAAGAAGGAGCAAGACCTGATTATAAATTTGGCGTTGAGGAGGAAAAGCAATGAAGTTAAAATTGGGTTCAAGGTTTTACACCTAGAGGATTGGAAAACAAGTGCAGCCTTTTGATCTCAGGGAAGGGGACCTGTGACAGCCAGAAATGGATGTGTTTGATGTCAGACCTGTTAACTGGGAGGGGTCACCAGGACATTCTGCTTTCCCATCAGCAGCTAAAATTAAGGACCTTGAACCTAGTTTGGAATAATTCTCCCAGTAAACAGCAAATTCTATATAACATTTAGAGGGCGTGAGTCCTGAACCAGCAGAAAACATGAAGAAAAAGGAAATGAAACTCGCCTTCTAAGCATAAAGTTTTTAATCTACTCATGACACCTTTTCTTTTTCTTTTAAATTCGTTAGTTTTCAGAGATAACATTTGCCAAGTGCTTGCTGGGCACCCAGTGTGCTACATGTATTCATTCGTTTTGCACTCGCAATAACCCCAGGAGACAGAGACCACCACTATTTCACAAAGGAGAAGCACAGAGACCCAGAGAAGTTAAATCATTTTGCTAAAGTCACACAACTGGGAGCCTGCAGGGACCCCACTTTTAACTACTACGTTAAGTGGCCTTTGTTTGCTTCACTTCTCCCCTTGTTAAAAAGTGACTAATGCTGCCTGTTGTCAACTCCTTCTCAGCGATGCCACACTCTGAACTGCCACCCCGTCCCCAGAAGTATTTCCTGGCTTGACGTCGTGCCTTCCGTGGTGCAGCCTGCCACACCATCCGTGCAATCTCTGGGCTTCTGGGCCCGGCACTGGCTGTTCGAGCTGCTGCCGAGAGCTCCACATGGAGGCTCCTCTGCTCCCTGTTCACCTGCGCACAGCAGCCTGTCCTGGTTCAAAACCCCCACCCCACCCTACCCTGTGTCACACATCGAGGCTGTCTCTGAAGCTGCTGTCCGTGCCCGGAATGCTTTTCCTCCTCTCACAAATTCTCTCCCTTTTTGGTACACAGACAGCTTCTGAAACTCCCATTGGTCCATGGAATTTTCCTGGGCGAATCCGGGAGGAGAGCAGTTCTGTACTTTGCCGGTTCAGCACAGCACAGCCCCCAGAGTCACCCGGGCTGGGGCCTGGGCTCCCCGTTTGCCATATTAGCGTGGGCAGATTTCCAGTATTAGCGTGGGCAGATTTCCAAGCCTCGGTATCCTTGTCATTTGTATGGGATGTTCACACCTAATATCGAAGGATTGCTGTGAGAATTAGCTAAGGTGATCCATGAACTGCTTCTAGCTAGGCAGGAAGTAAGTATTCAGTTAATAGTAAGCTATCGTTATTACCTAAAGATACAGTTTTCATTCTTAGTATGTCAACATTTACTGAGAATCTACCATAAGTCAGACACTGTACTAGGAATTCATAATACCAAGACCACGAAGGCATAAGCCCTTTTGTGAGAAGCTCACAGTCTGTGGGGGAGACAGAGACGATAACACAGTGCGATGTTTCAACACATTAACTGCCATGAGAGTTATATTTAACTCACTCTAGTTTTGACCCCAGGGCTACGTGAAGCATATACAAACCCTCACTTGTTGGTGTTCTTATTGCTACAACTAATATTGACGATTTAATTCTAAAAATGTGGATGAAATGAATAGAAGTCAATAAATTTTTGTTTTTCTATTTATGTTTACCTTTAAATTACACTCAAAATTTCTATTCTGTTTTCATAATAAAACACTGTGGCCCCAAGGACAAGTTTCTAGGCTTTTTTGTGTAGCAGTCAATGTGTTAACAGATACACAAAGAGCAGCAAGGCTTACTTTTGTTGAATGCCTGCTTCTGCTAGATGCTTTCTGTAGCATTGAATTTAATGCTAATAATAATGGCACTAGCCAGCCAGTAGCCCCATGGTAGGTAGGGGGCAAATGAGATTTGCAGAGGTAAAGCTAATGTTCTTTCTGCCACACCATCTTGCCTTTCTTTTTTTTTTTGAGACAGAGTCTCACTCTTTTGCCCGGGCTAGAGTGCCGTGGTGTCAGCCTCGCTCACAGCAACCTCAAACTCCTGGGCTCAAGCAATCCTTCTGCCTCAGCCTCCCGAGTAGCTGGGACTACAGGCATGCGCCACCATGCCCGGCTAATTTTTTCTATATATTTTTAGTTCTCCAATTAATTTCTTTCTATTTTTAGTAGAGGTGGGGTCTCGCTCTTGCTCAGGCTGGTTTCGGACTCCTGAGCTCAAACAATCCACCCCCCTCGGCCTCCCAGAGTGCTAGGATTACAGGCGTGAGCCACCGCGCCCGGCCCATCTTGCCTTTCTATGGAAGGAGAGGTTTGTCCCTCAGTTTCTACCCACAAGATATATTTTCTCCATTGTTTATGTAACATCCATGCTCTATTTATGCATGGTTGTATTCCCTTATTTCATAAGTATTGTCTGGCCTGAGTAAATCTAGTAGATACTGTAAACTCTTGTCATTTACTATTTATAGCCCTACACTTGCGTCACATTGCCCAGTCCTTATGGGACATGATATTGATTCTGTGGCTCCTGCTAGAACAGTGTGGACTGTGTCCCTGTCACTCTTTTTAGAATTTGCACTTCCAAATACACTTGGTGTGCAATCATAATTTTCATCATAGAGTACTTAATTTCGTATCATGTTCTGGACATTTTCTAAGTGCATATAAAAATTTTGTCTTTTTCTCCAGTTTCATGTATTTTTCCCAGATATAAACTCTTTGGGGCAAGGACCATGTGTTTTATTTGTTTTCCTAAATTCACAGAGCCTAGCCCAATGCTGTGTGCACACTAATAAAAGTTAACCATTTAAGCACTCAGTGATACTTTCAAGAATCATTTGATATCTGCAGTAGCAATTGCACTCATAATTCCATAATACATCAGCTTTATTTAAAAAAAAAAAAAAGCAAAACCCTGCTCTTTTGAGACTTGTACTCCTTTGACTGCTGTCATCCCAACAAGACCAGAAGACAAAATTTAGGAAGCAAGTCTCAGGCTGTGTGTATAAGAAGCCAAAGTAACTTTTCTATCTGGTTCTATAGACTAAAGTCCAGGCAACCGAGTAGGGAAACAGCCCAATTGGCCATGTCACGGAAGAAGGCATCCATTCTAATCTCGCTGTCCTGTGAGCTTGGCCACTGACCACATATGGCCATGGAAGTTTCCTTTATTTCCCAGATGTCACGTAGAGTTAAATGTGTTAGTGTTCCAGTTCCAGGGGAATTCACCTAGTTCACGAATATTTTAAACAATCTCAGCTCAGTTGTGATCTCAGGTAAAGATGACATAAACTAAATGAACATACCCTGACAACAGATGAGAATTAAGTCAGACTTGGTGCTCAGTTTATTGCATTTTCAAAGCAGATTTGTGTAAAACATACTCTGGGGAAGCACAAGTCTGTCCATCCACATGTTTGATTTAGAAGATGCCAAGCTGTTCAGGGTCAAGTTTAATCCCTCTATTTCTACATCCTGTTTTCCTCTGGATGTCTTCCTGATTCACTATCATCAGACCTCCAGCT